AACGCCAGCATTGGACTTTCCTACTTACCATATACGTACTATTCTTTTGTTCTGTACTTACTTGGCATCCTGCCATCCCTCCATATGATTCTGGTACGTTCTACGATGTTCCGGACTATTCTAGACAGCGTCCGGATTACTCGCATTACTCAGCCATGGACTATCTGACCTTATGTCGATTATGCTCCCTTACTCAGCGTTACTCATCGCTCAGTCAGCGTCCTCTGGACGTCACATGCCCTCTTCCTATACGCTTACTCATCGTCTCCCCAGTAGTATATAAGGAGGACTCTGCAGGCCTCTGCTCTTCAGTCGTTCTCTCACAGACTGAAGAGTAAGTCCCATACTACTTATGCTTCCTTACATGTTTACTTATTAGTACTTGTAGCCTCTCTTTGTGCGGCTTACAGGTACAGTACTATGCAATCATAGTCGTTCTCTCACAGACTGAAGACCTCTCTTTGTGCGGCTTACAGCCTTCCAGGTTCAGAGTTCATCAAGAGGCGGGGAGACGGTGGGGACAGAGACGGTATCTAAACGGGCGGGGATCGCGTTGGGACCGCTGCAGAGCGCCTTCGTCTTGCGTGCCCGGGCCTGTCTTTTGCACCTTCGGCGGATGAAAATGGCGACAAGTCCGAGGAGTATCGTGCCTAGGGCAGAGCCCGCCGCGGTAATGCCAATGATAATGGCGGAGTTTAAATGGTGCGGAGGCGGTGACGTCGCGGATGCGAAGGGCGAGTGTGGAGAAGCCCATTGCAGGACAGAAGTAGCGAGAATCGATGGGGTTTGAATCAATGGGATTCCAGTAAACGATGATGTTTGGATCGCCGTGGGCTGTGATGAGGTTGGAACTGCCGTAGGATTTAATGAGGTCTGCACTGGCATCGGAACATGTCCAGGAGGAAGAGCAGTCGCAAGGTCATCGGCGGTGTAGACGACGTAGTCGAACAGGACTAGGGATGGGCCCTTGCCCTCAGCTGATATAACCAAGGTGTGATCCCCGTAAGGAAGGCTGTGGTTGGAATACACCGCTACATTGTACATCAGATCGGGGCCGGAAGGGTCTGGGAGATGCGAGTAGTGGCCGACGATCTCGCCGTCGAGAGAAAAGGTGAGGGTGGTATTTGTCGTAGCTGACAGCACGACATTGGCGATGATGTTGAACACGTAGACGGCCTGTCCGACGAATTGAACGGTGATATTGCGGCGTAAGCTACCGGGAAGCCAGGTGGTATAGTGCCAGGTCCCATTGAACGCCTGCGCGGGATCCACTGGTGCACCACTCGAGGATGTATGTCCGAGATTCGCAGGGTAGAGATTGCAGCTTATACATTCCTCGCCGTGTGTCCAGTCCCCCGGGGGGCGATAGGTGGGGATGACCCCTGTGATGCTATCGCCGTATCTGTCGTCGATGGTATGATTGACTGGGGTAGCGGTACAAGCGACGGCTAGCACGAGAAAGCAGAGTGCGAACAGTCTCATGAGTGCAGCGAGGATATGACCGCAAGAGACGACGTGGACATCCGACGTGAGCTGGGCAAGTTATGCGGTGTACTCACTGCATCCAACAGAAGTACTACCTTTATGTATCCGTCAAATATTGTCAGAATCGATGTGCCGGTAGAGCCATGTGGCAGCGGGGCTACTCACCATCTTCCACTTGATCGTTCCCATACGCCAACCGCGATTGCAAGTCGAGCGAATTGATTGTATGAGCAGATGCCTCGGCGGTTGGAGACCGCTAAGTTCCCGTGTACTTATCAGGAGACATCGGGAGTTCACGAAGACTTTGGCATCTTGAATTGATGGCGACATGGCTGTACACTGGCATTGCAACTATGAACATGCACGATGGGAGGTACTGTGGTCCACGCGGGCGTTGTCGCGCGCCGTGGTAGTGTCGCACGGGATAACTGAAAATTATACTTAGTTTACGCGCCAGCCGTTCCTTAGCTTAGCCATCCCATAGCTAAGAGCTTGAAGCCCTAGAGCCGAGTATCAAGGAGCTGAATTGGATTGTAGGAGCAAGAAGAGGCCATCGTGTAGGCGAAGCATGCAGTGAGAGTGAGCAACGAAAGATGAGAAGCTTGTTAGGCGCTGGTACGCATTTGTGGACTCTTGTGTTAGCGCTGGTATGTAATGATGGCGCTGGGCGCAAGTGCGATCGCACCGCACACTGGCGGGTTGTACAAGGCTCGGTGGAACACAGTGCCCGTGACAGTCCAACGTGCATGGGCAATAGTACCCGATCGACGACGGATGCTATTCGACCGGGCTCACTCGGGTACTGTAACTCAGGCTCAGCGTCCTGCTCGCTACGAGCGCACACAACTCATGTGCCTGACGGCGTCGCCGTGCGGTGACCGACTTTGCCGAAGAGTACTACTTGCTATGTCCAGTACTATACCTTTTGGTATATTGCTTGCAAATATCACCCTATGGACTCGTCGTGCCAGTACTCCTCCGAAAGTTACACCGGTCACAACCCTCCACACAGCCTGGCCAGGGCAGGAACCCCTTAGCCTCACTTGGTCCATCGACCGCATTACACAGTATATACCAAGTATGCATACCAGGCACCGATTGTCTGTTGACTGTCGGAGATGTTCAGGGGCGCGATATACTGATGAGACGTCGACGTACGTACTCACTGACCGCGTGCGGTGAGTGCATCCGGTTACTGAGACTCGGTACCTTGACGGTAGTACTGCGCGGCGATATCGGGGGTCTGACAGAGCAGAGCAGTAGTAGGGTGTTGCGAGGCCCACCGCCGATGGGCGGCCCTAACGCTGTCATAGTTGAAGGCTTGTACTGGCACTGTTAATCAACGACGCCACTGAGATGCACATGTCCATCGCACTCACCGCCAGGTCCGCGTCTTGCCATGCGCCCGCCGTTATACGTGGTACATCATCATCATCTCAGATGAGAGGTTGCGCTCGTGCTGCAGCAGCCCACGGAGCTCTGCGATCTCACTGCGCAGAGCAGCGAGCTCCCGCGCCAAACGACGTGCCTCTCGTGAGCGCGACCCTGTCGTTCGTGTTGTGCTGGTCGACTGGGTGGAACTCAGGGAGGGGGCCAGAACTGGTTCGCCTAGCCGGGTTTCGATCATGTGTATTCGATCGGTGAGCTCTGCATAGCGTCTTGAATGCTCCGTAGCGGCAACGGACATAGGGCGGGAAGGGGAGTCCATGGTGGCTTCGCGGAGGGCACCTGCGTAATTTAATTTTTGAGAAGAGCAGAATGGCGTGCAGGTCCCGCAGCTCACCTATAGGGGGCGTATATGGAGGGGTGATACCGGAGTAGTATGCTGGTGGAGGCTCCGCCAAATCGGGAACGGTTGCGCGTCTTTCTGCCATCGTGGCCGTATCTCCCGGTGCGTCGTTGCCAGCAGCCGACCCTGTTGACCTCGCGGGCGAACTTTGACACCGCTCCCGCCGGCGTCGGCGGAACAGAAAGAACAGTACCCCAGCAACGATGCCTACAACGGCCACTCCGGCCACTGTACCGCCCACGATCACCCCTATCGAAGGGCCCGGAGACCCCCGCGCCATCGATTGCGAGGGTGTGGAACTCGGTGAGATGCTCCCTGTAGTAGGACCCGCCAGCGTAGTTGTTGACGGAGAGGACGACGGGCTCTGTGTCGGGCTCGCTGAGGTCGTGATTTCTTCGTCTACGGTGTACGCAATGTAGTCGAAGAGGATGAGAGAACTGAACGGCCCCGTAGGTTGTATCTCCAGCGTATGCGGCCCATTGGTAAGGCTGGTGTTGCTGTAAACCGACACGTTGTATAATATGTCCGTGCTTGTGTCGGGGGCATGCAGGTAGGATCCAACTAGCTCTCCATCCAGAGTGAAGGACAGGTTCGTCAGCGTCGTGGTGGCGCCGACAGTATTCGCGATGATGTTGAACACGTACACCGCGACGCCAGAGAACGTCGCAGTGATGACCTGATCGGGTCCCCCTGGGTGGTGAGTGGTGTCGTGCCATGTCTGGTCGAATGTCTTGTTGAGGTTGACGAGGCCCGGATGGATATTGCAGGTTGTGCATACTGAACCGAGGGCCCACCCGCCATCGGGGAGGTATGTGGGCTGCTCCCCTGTGACACTATCCCCCAAGTTGTCGTCGATGGTCCGATTGACGAGGACGCCATCCACGACCACGAAGGAGGATGCCGCGAGTGCCAGAAAAAGATACGGGGCTGCAAGAGTGCGGTATGGCGTGGGCATGCGTGGACCGAGAGGCTGTCCGAGAGTGCATGAGGTACCACCAGGTACCTGGGCAGTGAGCGAAAGCGAGAAGCAACCGAAGGCGGCTCACTTGACCGGCTTGGGGCTCGGAAGGCGAGGTTCGACGTCAAACTTTGTCCTCGACCGGTCGCACGCTCTTTTGGCCGCAGCTCTCATGCCGACGGTGACTGTTGACTCTTAACACCTGAGTTTGAACCTAGAACCTGCAATGTAATTCCAATAGACAGCAGCGGACGCCCAGACCCAGTAGCATCTTTGATACTTGATCATGGCCTTCAGCCAGTGCGTTACATGAGTTAGAGCGGAAGAAATGTTACCCTATCAAATGACCGGCGAATAGAGTGAACAGCCGCTGCCAGTGCCGTTTGCGTGGCAAAGCAGCTACTTATAGGGTCGTCGAGCATGACATAGTAGCTCCCTGGCGCCTCATTACAGCACCCGTGGAAATACACTGGCATGCAAGGTGAGATAAAAAGAGAGCTCACCTTAACTGACATGCACGGCGGTCCGCTATTCGTGGCAGGCTCGCACGAACGTTGGTGGTCGATGTTCAACGTCGTTGGCGCCCATAATCACCTGTGCGCGACATATAGGCGCCTACGCGATTCGCACTCCGAGCATGCATGTCAGTCGTGGATGGCACTTTGAGGCTGAGCCCATATAAAGCTAGTCATGCACAGATTCGTCAACGTTAGACATTCCAGACATTACATCGTGATACATGCGAGAGCGTAAAGCGTACGACAACATTCGATAGAGAAGCCAAGATATTCCAGACTCGGACCTCCCGGGCTTTGAAGTGGCGTTGGTCATACAACACGGCACAGGACCGGTCGCGGTAGACGTCACCATAAATTTCTGACCCGCTCTACGAGCGGTACTGCAGCACGCTGTCAAGATACGAACGACGTAGGGAGAAGGGAAAAAGGCTACGCACCGAGACAATCATGCTGTTCGGGCAGTAGTCGGGCAGACCGATGCTGTCGACGAACATGTCGTAGTCGACGCCGAAGCGCTGCACTTCGACGCGCGCGATCGTGCCCGAGGGCCCCGCGACGCGCTTCGTGTTCGGGAGCTGGAAGACGGCCTTGACCATCTCGACGATAAGCTGCGCAGGCCCAACATGCCGTCAGCGGGGGAGACCTTCGACGCTAGAAGCAGCAACGCACCTCTTCGGCTTCGACGGTTCCCAGGCACTTCGAGTAGCTCGCGTCCTGCATCACCTGATACACCTGCACCGGGCGGCGGGGGTTGACGGTGAGAGGCTCAGGGAAGTCGGTGGGCTGCCGAGAGGTGTCATTGAGTAGGACTTTGACCCACGCGTAAGCCGACTTACGTTCACAAGAGCCTTCTTGAGGTCCAGGATGACCAGAGGAGACGGCTGGGCAGCAGTGCCGCCTTGCTGTTTCAGCACAGCGTCAAACTGTATGCGCTATGTCAGATATTCTGGTGCCGTGCGGCGGAACACATGAACTACCTGAGGGTTGAGACCTGCGAAGGGGAAGATGAGCTGACATGCACTTTTTTATCGGTACTGAAGACTCACGTTGCGCCTCCCGGATGTAACCGCGCAGGAGGTTCAAGCTGTCGTTGTCGCTGGCCCCAGCGAGCTTGATCACCTCCGCCCGCTCCTTGGCATGCTCGTCGGCGAGGTAGAAGTCCACGATCTGCGCGACCGCTGTGCACATTGGGCGATGAGTAAGGGCGTGGGTTAGAATGAGCAAATAACCAACCCTTGGACAGGCTAACAGCGACGGTGACGGCAAAGCCGATCACGTCCGCGACGATGTCCTTCCGCGGCGCCTTCGAACGCGAAATTTTCTGGAGGAAATCGATGGTGGGCTTGTGCCCCCCCTCCTTGAGGAACGCCGATATCGAGCCCTGCTGGGACGTTAGCAACCTAAGCTCCTGACTTTCGGCGTTGAAGTCACATACGATGGTTGGCAGGTGGGGAGCCGCATCGGTCAGAGTCTTCTCGACGAACTGGGTCAGGATCTGCGTGAAGTACGACGCGCGCCTGCTGATCGACCAGTTGTTCTCGGGCGTGGCATCGAGGTAGACCGCGCTATGGATATGGCTGTCAATACCAAACAAGGGACAGAGGGCTGTTTGCTGCACGTACGTGAAGATGAGCTGCAGCATGTCGTTCACCTCCTGCGGCGTCAAGACACCAGACGGCCGCTTCTTGGTCTTCAGCGGGATCCCGAGCTGTCAACACCCAGGTCACCCACTGCCTCACCTTTAGAAATCGTGAGACTGGCATACCAGGAACTCCGAAACCCAGTACACAGGGACGAGGTTGATGACATTGCCGACGATGTCGATCCTGGAGCCGGCCAGGCCGTCGATGTTGTACGAGTGCTCCTTGATGAGCTCGCGCGTCGTCGTGCCGAACCACGCCTTGTGCGCGCCAAACGCGTCGGGCGTCGGGAAAACAGCTTGCGTAAGGGCGAGCTTGCGCTGCTCCGGCCTATATGACGCAGTCGTCATGTCAGAGCGCCAACCAACCTAGGAAAGTACTCGCAACGTACACATTGGCGACGACGGAGAGGTTGCTCGCGGTGCTCGCGAAGATGCCGCTCTCGAACGTCTTGTACTGCTGCGGCGCACTGAGCACGTTCGCGATGCCTGACACCGAGTCCACGATCGTCGCGACCGGCTGGGCCACCGGGCGCTTCAGGTCGTAGTTCGCGATGATACCGAGGTTCGTGAGGTTCTTCTGGGTCACCTGCGGCGTCATCATCGGGAACAGCGCATACACGTTGTTCTACCGCCACGTCAACGCGTCAGCGATCCTTCACAGTGGCAGGCAGAATGGAATGGAAGAGGCACGTACCGCGGGGTAGTGCCTAGGCAGGTTGCGGAAGAGCAGCCGGGGGAGGGCCGCGCCGAACGCGCCGTTGTTCGTGTCGCGCGCGCAGTCCTGGAAGCCCCACGCCGTCAGGTTCCCCGCTGTGCATACACGAAGCGGCGTCAGAGTTCTGTCACGCGAGGAAGGGGCGACGAAGACGGGATGGCGTATACGCACGCGTGTAGTCAGTCGTGTAGAACCGGTCGCCTGGAAGCCCGTCTGCGTCAGCCATTGTGTAACCGACGTGCCGTATGCGGGGCACTCACCGCGCACGAGCGCAATCGCGTCGCTCAGGATGGCACGCATCATCGTGTAGCCACAGCACAAGCCCGAGCCCGGCCCCATCGGCGCAATCTCCTACACACCCGCCCCAGTCGCACATGAGCATCCGCTTGCCGCGCACGCCACGGCCACAGCCACTCACCTCCGCCTGCAGCCCGGGGTAGAGCTCGAGGTTGTCGATGTGCCCGTACAGCTGGCGCGCGGCCTGCGCGATCTCGGGGTCCGGGTTCCACTCCTCGAAGGTCGCGAACTGCTTCAGGCCGAGGAACGCGCGGAACTCGTTCATCGTGCACACGCCCCAGCTGCGCGCCTGCACCATACCCATCATCTCGACGATGCGCAGCACGGGCGGCGTCCCGCGCGCGCGGTACGTGCCCGCCGGCTTCTCAGTGGCGTCGTGCAGAATCCTATGCGCGCGAATGGTCAACTATTGTCCTCCTTGTGGCTCAAACGCGAACGTAAGGGGATAGGGAGGCGGGCAGGGCGGGATACGTACTTGGCAAGATCGTCGTCCGAGAAGCGGCCGTCAGCGCCGCGCTTGATGCCCGCGAAGGTGCGCTCGCGCGGGTCCTTCTCGACCTTCTTCCATGTCTGCGTGACGGCGGGGACGAAGTCCTTGAGCTCGAGCTGGTCGAGCGGCTTCCCTGCACCCTTGAATGCTTCAGTGAAGATGTCCTCTGTCCATTTGATGTCCGCCTCCGCGGTTGTCGCGTGCCACTGCATCCGGTATTAGGGTTACTGGATGTGCATGAGTGAGAGAGGAAGACATACCCGGTAGAGGATGTTGAACTCGACGGAACAGTGGTTGCCGTCTCCGCGACCTACCTCCTGACCGTCGGGCGTCGTGATAGGCTGCAATAGAGTTCAGCCTCTGCGCGCCCGCTCCTGAACAGATGCCCGCTTACGTCGAAGGGGTTCATGCTCCAGCTGCAGCCGTCGCGGCCGAGACCAAGGAACCCTGCGACGTAGTCGCCAAAGATCATAGCCATGAAGTTTCCGCAGCTGCAAACCCAGTGTCAGCCACCGTTCCAACTGAAGGTTTGCATGTGTCAACACACTTGACCATGCGCGCGATTTGGAATATCTCCTCGTCCTGGAGCGCCTTCTTCGCCTCGTCCGTAGGGGGAGGGTCGGACCAGCGTCCGCGCTCGTTCAGCCTCAGAAGCATCTCTGCGATGTACTGCCCACAACCACATTAGCGATGCCGCCACTCGTTTCACTGTTGTATTATTGTCGGTGTGCTCACGTTATGGTTTCGGCTGAAGAGCACAAGGAGCGCAGTCGCTGCGGGCGGTACGAATACAAGGCGGTCCTCGGAGAACGCGTCTGGGTAGAGCAGACCGCGCCCGGAGGCGCGGTCGCGCACCGCATCCTGCTCGTCCTGGTTCGTGCCGTAGAGGATGGAGAGGTCGAGGTAGGATGTCGTGTTGTTCTTGGTCATGTCACGCGGGTCGGTGCGGAACAACTGGTGCGTTACGAGCGACGCGAACGCGAACGTCAGCGACGAGTTGCCGTTGGGGTGCGGCTTCCACTGTTGCAATACATATCAGTAACGCATTTTATGAGGCAAGCACATGATGGGGTGACTTACGTCGCGCGCCTTGAGCAGCGAGTCGAACACGTCCGCCGGGTCGGGAAGAACATTCGGCGGAAGAGGGTACTTGTTCTGCACGCTGCGCGAATACGGCGTGCGCGCGGTACCGAGCATGGGCATGTTCGGGTTGTTTCCGCTTCCATCGGCGGAACGGAGCGTGAACGGGATGCGCGCCACAGGGCCTGCGGTGGCGCTTTCCTTCATCTCGGGAATGCGTGCTGTAGGAGACGGGGAGCCGCTAAGGTAGTCCGTGCCGACGTAGGTGGCCGGCGGGTGCAAAAGGGTGTTGTACAGAGTGGTGATAACCAGGTCGTTAAGTTTCTTGGAAAGCGCAGACTGCTCGGGCACCCTGCACAGGATAGCGATTGCCTTAGTGAACTAGAAGGCCAGTCAGTTTGTACGCTCACACGAACTCGTAAGTTGCATAATTAGCCCTACCAGGTTCTTCCTGTCATCGAGGTCGCCTTTGTTCTTGACAGCATCCAAGATAGCTTGGGCGGTCTGTGAAACACGCGTACGTTCAGCACTGACATTCATCTCGAGATTGTACAAGTACGCTTACGCCAATGTTCAAGGCGACGTTAGCAATGGCAGGAGCCTGCTTGGCAAGCGTCGTAAAGGAGGTGGTGGCCTTGTATAGGTCGGAATGCGGGTCAGTCTTGGTCGCGTCTGTGATCGGCCGGACCTGCTCGTCGTAGCGGCCGTCGGGTGCTTTCGGCAGCGGACGCGCGGAGAGGTAATCAACATCCGCGAGAGTCTGTACGATCGCGGGTCAAGCGAGATGAAAGACGCATCGCCAAGCACGCGGGCGGGCTCACCACGACGTCGCGCAAGTTGAGGGCCATGGTGGAGTGCTGGTGGTACTGAGAGAAGGGACTGGGCGGGGGTGGTGATTGTCTGGAGGTGCGCGCAGGTAGATATAGGGCACTGAGGGCGCGTCGAGGGCGACCGAGAACGAAGCGACAGGGAAGGAGCTCAGAGCGCATCCGGGGATTTCGAGTGCCGTAGCTGGCCGCCTCTCGATCGCTCACCAGATCAGGGCGGCACCCAAAGACAGAGTAAGTTACCGTAAGTAAGGCCATCTCCGATCCCGACCGTCACAGCCCTCTAAAGCCGCGCGAGCCCTTCTCTGCGCCTCCCGTGCGTCTCGGAGCGGATACCTTTCAATGTGGGGTCCCGCCGCTTGCACTCAGCAGACAGCATGGAAGCCTTTGCTCGGCCCAACGACGCACACACATGACTGCTTTACGTCGTATTCAGGGTCGCATTTTGGCAGCAGGCATGGCGAGGACAGGGGGATTGATCAGGTTCAGCGTGGGTGACGATAAGTATAGCAGTGCAATGTTATGATTTTGCACAGGATAAGCCTCAGACAAATAGCACACGAGGCGTGACGTCGAGCGACTTCCGAGTTCATGGGCGGTGCTCTCAGGTGGTAAAAGCGGTGGATGTAATCGGGCCAAGAGGGGGAGTTGCATGTCCGGCGACACAGAGGATTCGGAAGCAAAACAACTCTGGCAGCTCCCCGAGTCGTTCTGGTCGCCGGCCTCCGGGCGAACGTTTCCGCGCCGGCCCCAGCGCCGGTCCTCTCCCGATTGGATCGCAGCTCTTTGGCGCGCGCATGTGATCGCGTCTCCAGTAGACGCCCATATAACTTCTCCCGCGCGGGTCCACTCTCCTCGCGGCCGTCACCTCCGTCTCACGACGAGTCTCTTCCACCGGACCCGCTCAGTGCTCTCGGACTGGTACACTTGCGGTTAGAATGAATGCTCCTTGGCTACATGTGTGCCTCAACTACTTGGGCGTTCTGTACGCTAGTTGATTTGCCAGCGCCCAACGGTTCGAATCTGATGAAGGCCCCGGCCCTGCTACAACTCTATACTGTTGTCTGCGCCGCTTTGGAGAACATCTGCCACTGCGCTGAGCGTTGCGCCGATGGTCGCTACAGTCGTGGTGATCGCCCGAGTCGACGAAGGTGATTGGCTTTCGCATCATTTGTCCTGGGATGTTTCACTCCACGCACGTCGCATCTCCCGACTCCCACCGGACAGCGCTCGCAATGCAGTGTCGCCCTCTTGTCCTGCTGCCGATACTAGCTCCCCGCACTTGCTTCATTAAGTGTGGGTCCCGGCGTTCGATGCGCCGCCTCCTTCCCAAGTCTCTCCCAAGCTTCACCACTCCCCCGACGCCCATCGCCCCGAAACAGAGCCAAGCCCATACGAGCCGGCGATGCCATATGACATAAGCTTGGCTTCCTAGGTTCTTGACAAGCTGCCGAAGCCGTCCCCGTGAAGGAACTCCATATAAGAGCCAGCTCGGGCGCAGGAATCGAGCCGCCTGACACTGTACGTCCCCGACGCGCTCAGCCAGCGACCCCATCGTGCCACGACATCACGCGCAAAGTCTCCCGCCCTCTCACCGCCCCCGCCCGCACTGCGTTTGACCGGTTTGACCAACGTGGGCGCCGATCAATCGACCGATATACACTATTACGGTAAGGGTACGCTCTGCGCATCTGCCCGGAGCAACATCGAGTGCTCCGTCCGTGGCGTCCCTCGGCATCCCATCAAACCAACAGACGCGGTAGACAAATCATAAAAGCCCCGGCCATATGGGTGCGTTGCTTCCGCCATATCCTCCGCCCTTGTTTCCTCCGTCCCGGCACCCTTCACGACTTATAACGACTTACGCTGTTCGCTCCGACAGACTCACGACCCACCATGCCTCTCTCTGCCTCCTCTTCGCCCCCTTCGCTCGGTGCCCGCCTCGAGAACCGCTCGCAGAGCCCTTCTCGGACCGGGCGCACGTCCTCGGAGAGCGGGCACTCGCATTTACGACCCACGACGCCCACCAGTGTGCACTCGTCCTCGAGTGAGCTGGGGGACAACGATATCATCCCCCCGTATGACCCTGCGGCGCCGCGCACTCTGGTGCTGTGCTTCGACGGCACTGGAGACCAGTTCGATTCGGACGTGAGTTTCTCCACCCATGTCACATCTTACGCCACCAATACACTAGTCACTTGGCGTTTACCTATTCCGCCATTCCTCGTATTCGTGCTCGCGTTCGTGTTCACAACCGGCGTACTGACAGACACCCGCGCACAGAACTCCAACGTGGTGAAATTCTTCAGCCTACTCAAGAAAGATGACCGGCGGGAGCAGATGGTGTATTACCAGGTGCGCGGACCCGCTGCGCCCCCGATCACAGCGATCGATCGAACTGACTTGGCCCTCCTCGGACTCCACGCGCTTCCCCGCACCGCTGCAGACGGGTATCGGCACCTACACAACCCCACAGGTTTCTACCGCCGTCGGCCGCGCCGTTTCCAAGACGCTCGACGAGATGGTCGCGTGGAATCTCGATGCGCACGTTATGAGTACGTTCTCTGCAGACTCCCACTAGTCTCGACCGAAATTGACAATGTTGCATAGGCGGCTACGAGTTTCTCATGCAGAACTGTGCGTCTCCGATCCTCTTCTTCTCCGCTCAGGGCCCACGCTGACCTCCATACCATGCTGTGCCCCTTCCCGCCCTGTTCCGCTTTACGCTTTTAACCTTCGCCGACGCTGTCACCCCTCCGTGCATACACTACAGACGAAGCGGGCGACAAAATCTGCCTATTCGGCTTCTCGCGCGGCGCGTACACCGCGCGTGCGCTCGCGGGCATGCTGCACAAGGTCGGGCTGCTCCCCCCGGACAACTTCCAGCAGATCCCGTTCGCGTACAAGATGTACGGGCGCACGGACGAGCTTGGGTGGAAGCAGAGCACCGCGTTCAAGAAGGCGTTCTCCATCGAGGTCGACATTGAGTTCATCGGTGTTTGGTAAGTCGCGCTCTCTTCCATGCTCTCGCTCGGGCCCGAACATGACGTTAAACCTTTCGCGGGTGAGCAGGGACACTGTCTGCTCGGTTGGCGTGATCCCGCACCGACTTCCGTTCACGACGTCGAACACGGCCATCCGCACATTCCGGCACGCGCTCTCGCTCGACGAGCGCCGTGCGAAGTTCAAGGCGAACCACTACAACCGCCCGACGGAGTGGGAGAGCAAGCAGGGCACGCACCGCGGCGACATGCCGCGCCCCGCGCGCCGGCGCCCGACCGGCCTCCGCGCTACGAGCCAGAAGATCGCGCAGGCTGTCAAGGACGGGATGCGAACCGTCAGCGGAACTGTTACGAGCACGACGTCGAGCACCACCACCACCGCCCAGACGTCGCCGGGAGGGATAACGAAGACTGCGACCACGACCACGACCATCCAGGAGAAGAAGGAGGAGGACTCCGACTCGGAGGACGAGCACGTCGAGACGACCGTGACCGCAGCGGCCACCACCACCACTACCGCTGCCGCCGCATCGCCGACCTCCGCGCGCACCAACCTGTGGGCGCAGGCGCTCAGCCCCTTCGCGACGTGGCGCACGCTGCGGCGCGCGGCGAAGGGCAAGCAGCTCACGGAGGAGGAGAAGGCGTTCGACAAGGCGCAGGACACCGCGGGCGCGCAGGGCGAGACGGACGTGAAGGAGGTGTGGTTCGCGGGCTGCCACTGCGACGTCGGCGGCGGGTCCGTGCCCGACGACACCCTGCACTCGCTCGCGCGCATCCCGCTCCGCTGGATGATTCACGAGTGCTTCCGCACGCGCACCGGCATCCGCTTCCATGGGGAGCTGCTGAAGGAGATTGGGCTCGACCCTGCGAGGTTGTGGCCAGCGACGCCGACGGGGCGCGCGTGGCCTGAGGATACGTTCGTGTACCCCGGGGTGAGCAGCAGCGGGAACGGCGCGCCTGCGGTGAGCGTCACACCGTCGCCACCGCTGTTCGCGGCACAGGTCGTCGCCCCAACACCGCTCACGGAGAAGACGCAAGAGGAGATCGGGCACGCGCACGGCGAAGCCGCGCGCACGAACGTGGCCTCGATCTTCCCTCCCAACAAGGCATTCTCCCCACCCGCTGCTGGGCGCGCGTCGCCGCACATGCGCGACGTGTCGTCGTCGACCGCGCACACGCTCGTGAACGGGATCGAGAGCCAGATGCAGGCGCACTGCGCGCTGGCGCCCCCGGAATGGGGCCCCGACCCGAACGTGAACGAGGAAGAGGAGGAGAAGGCGGATGCGAAGTGCGCGATCTACGACCAGCTCGCGCGGCGCCCGTTCTGGTGGCTGCTCGAGTTCCTCCCGATCGAGGTGCGTATCCAGGGCGCGGACCGCCAATGGCAGAAACAGTACCGGTATGCGCATTTGACCTTTGTGCTGCTCTGAGCGTTTGCTGACGTGTTCGCGTAGATTTAACCTGGGTCATGGCCGCGATGTGCCCCCGACGGAGCAGTTCTACCTTCACCGCAGCGTTAAGTACCGCATGGACGCGAAGGACCTCCCGGGTGGGCCGTACAAGCCCCGCGCGCGATGGGGCTCTATGAAGCCGACTTACGTCGACTGAGTTAGGGTTGGGATCGCGTGCCTGCCGCCACTCGTTTTAGAGCGGAGGGTAGGGTGCCTCGTCTGCGTCTTGGGCCGACGCGCACTTAATCTTTGCCTGTATAATTATTCGCTATTTCTTGTGCATCTTGATGCTTTTACGACTACTCCTAGCTATCGCCACGCTTTAATGATCACGCTATTAATGACTCCACCTATAATTCGTATCCCCTTTGCTGGGAAACTCTGCTCGAGGCTCGAGCCACTGTCATGAGTTGGATGTCAGTTCCTCCCGCGGCGGCGGGCTTCCTGCTTCGGTCTGCCAAACTGACACATGTGACCGCGCCAGTCGCGTCTAGATGGGCGCTTGCGAGTTGGTTATTCTCCTTCCATCATCGACGGTACCCTCCAACGTTCCCCAGCTTCCCCGCGATTCTATCCAGTACGCCACGGACACTCTTCTCGGCATCTGCATTGACCGGGGCTGCTTATGCTACCAGTTTACCAGTCAAACGGCGGCGTTACGTGGGACGCTCGCCAAGGACCCGCTCGGAATGCAACGTCTTGGGAGCCGATTTCTGTCGGAGAAGTGCCTCTAGGCGAGCTAGGGAGCGCGTCTATCGATTTCATCTACGCACTCGACGGACGGCGACAGGACAGCCTGGACAGCTTCCCTGCGCCCGTGTGCTTCACGAACCACGCTAGTGCGCGACCCTAGAAGCCGGCGAGGGATCGCCAGGACTGCATCATGCGCTTGACCCCGGACGGCGCACTCTGGCGCACCGCGCTCGACGTCGAGTCGGCCCTGATGCGATTCAGTTATGCCTCCGGCGAGCAACGTCCAAACACTCCGGAGAACTGTACGCTTGGCCAGCGGCCTTAGACGGGGCGCTGTTTTGTGGTCTGCGACGTCCGAGGCAATCGCAATACCGCGAATCCCTCTGCACCGACGCCGCTGCCACTTCCTGATCTGGGGCTGCTTCTATGCCGCGTACGGGGACGTCGTCGGGCCAGTAGCCGCCAGCCTGGCCGAGCATGGTATTTAGCGACGGGCCAGCGAGCATTGGCGTCGCCGTGCCAGCCCCCGCCGTCGCGCTCCCACTTTCAGCCCAGAGCCCGCCTTCGCCCTCGCACGTCCATACACGATGACCGCACCGCTCAGCCTGCCGCACCGCTCCGCGACGACGGACGGGCTCCCGTCGCCGTACCCGAACCCGTCGCCAACTTCGTCGGACAGTACGCGCCAAGGCTCGTCCTCAGGGGACTACGACATCGTGCCACCGTACCACCCCGCCCGCACGCTCGTGCTCTGCTTCGATGGCACTGGAGATCAGTTCGATGACGACGTACGCGTGCTTTAGCTGTGTATACGCGTGTGCTGGGCTCAGTCTGACAGGCATTGATAGAACTCGAATGTCGTGAAGTTCTTCAGCTTGCTGAAGAAGGACGACCGGAACGAGCAGATGGTCTACTATCAGGTACGACCAACCGATGTGGCAGCTATACTTATGTACTGACATCTTCCAAATAGACTGGTATTGGGACATACTCGTCTCCCTCGGCTTCCGCATCTCCGCTGCGATCCAAGTTCGACAAGCTGTTGGACTCCATGATCGCGTGGCACTTGGACGCGCACGTCCAGAGTAAGTTTCACCGCTTGGCACTTCTCGAGTACCCGCTGATGTGTGCCACTCGCTCCAGGTGGCTATGAATTCCTGATGCAAAATTGTGAGGCATTCGCAGACATTGCACAAGCCAGCCTTACTAACAACCCATGTAGACCAAGCGGGCGACAAGATTTGCCTCTTCGGCTTCTCTCGTGGTGCATACACCGCCCGTGCTCTCGCCGGCATGGTACACAAGGTACGGGCTGGCGTTCTCCTGTCTGCTCTCAGAAGTGCTGACACGCCAGTAGGTCGGACTTCTACCTGCGTGCAACCACGAGCAGGTCCCGTTCGCGTACAAGATGTTCACGCTCAGCGACGAGATCGGATGGAAGCAATCTACCGTGTTCAAGAAAGCGTTCTGCATCGACGTCGACATCGACTTCATCGGCGTGTGGTATGCTCCCTCTGCTGCCTACTGGCATATTTCCCGCTTATGTCAGAGACTGTAGGGATACCGTCGCCTCGGTTGGTTTCATCCCGCACACGCTCCCCTTCACCTCCTCGAACCGCTCAATCCGCGTCTTCCGGCACGCCGTCGCCCTGGACGAGCGCCGCGCGCGCTTCCAGGCGAACCTCTACCGGTACCCGAAGAAGAAGGACCTCGAGCACGGCACGAAGCCGGGGGACATGCCGAAGTCGGACACGGAGTATGCGACGCGCGTCGCGGTGCAGGAGCCGGGCAGCGCAGGTGGAAAGCCGAAGTTGAGCAAGAAGCCGAAGAGCGAGTTCAAGCAGCAGCTCAAGTACGAGCGGCTGTTCAATCAATCGGACAGCTGCGCGCATGAGACCGAGACGGACGTGCTTGAGGTGTGGTTTGCGGGGTGCCATTGCGGTATGTGTCCTCTCTGGATGTGACAAGACATGGCGCGGGCTTACGCGTCGGGGATAGATGTCGGTGGAGGCTCCGTCCAGGACAGCGTTGAGCACACGCTCGCGCGTATCCCGCTCCGCTGGATGATCCGCGAGTGCTTCAAGACGAACACCGGTATACGCTTCCATGGCGAGCTCCTGAGGCGCATCGGACTGGACCCCGCCGCGCTCCACCCGCACGTCGCGGACCGACCGTCACCGCTCGTCCCCAGCGCGGAGTTCTTGAAGGGCGTCGCGCCCCCAGTGCCTCTCACGACCGAGGAAGAGCATGAGGTGCGCGATGCGTTGTGCCCGGCGTACGACCAGCTCGACGCGGCATGGTACTGGTGGCTCTTGGAGTGCATCCCAACCGAGAAGCGCGTGCGGGGGCCTGCCCCAGAGTATAAGGAGAAGAAGCGGAAGGTGTAAGTATTTTCCCGTCCCCGCCGTTCGAGGACGTTTGCTCACCATCGGACGGGGTATATATAGGATGAACATGGGCACTGGAAGGGTTGTGCCGAAGCGCCACTCGCCGTTCTACGTGCACCGGAGCGTCAAGCTGCGCATGGAGGCGACGGACCTGCCGGGCGGCCCTTACGTGCCCAAGGCGCAGTTCGTCACCGAGCCTACCTGGGTTGACTAAACGTGGACGTCATGATAGGGACTCTGGAATTATGCACTTGTACAGTTAATGGTATGCTAGGTGCTTCGGTCGTTCTATGGTGCGTCCACGTCTGGCATCTCGGGCTGGCGCGTTGCATACGTTATTGATGTAACTAATTGATATGGCGTAGTTTCTGCCTTTACAGTATAGCGATATTCAATTAGTTCTTGGCCAGACGTCCTTCACTGCCTTCGAAGCTCGAACGGTGGCGTAGCTGCAACCTGCGGGGACGTAACTGTGGCGGATTGCCGCGCACGGCGTCCCGTGAAGGTCGCGCCACTGCTGGATAGCCAGAGCTGGACGTATCCGCAGATCCACCAGTGCCATGCAGGGTTCGACAGGGCAGTTCATTCCGCCAGCTATGAGCGCCTCGCGGCATTCAGGGTCGCGATTAGGGCGCCTAGGGGCGTTCAGTCAGCTCAGGCAGTGGCTGTGTCTGAAACGCTATTCACAAGCGTCGGAGGTTGTGCGATGCGAGCATCGACCGGCGTCGACACGCTCCGGACAGCGGTGAGCGACTGACCGGTGCAACAGAGGCCGGCACGAGCCCGTCGCCAATAAGGGGGTGCGCGAATCTGCGCGCCCGAATCGGGCGACATCCTGTGCTTCCATGCCTTCTCTGCGCCCGCACCCGACGAGAAGGCAGCGCGCGGGCACGGGTCTGTGAGTATATGGTCATGACCGTGCCATGCCCCCTCCGATCGCCCTTCTCTTCCCCGCATCGCGTCCCCACCCCGGCCTGCGCTCGTCCTGACGTCGTCCACAGCGCTCCGGGTTTGCCCTTCCTATAAGTACTACTCCTCGAGCTCAACGCAGGCTTTCCCATACCTGTCTTGCACAGCCATGTCTTCTACACCCCCCAAGCCTCCCGCGATGCAGTCTCCCCAGCAGTCCGCGTCTACCGCCACCGACCAATCCCCGTTCTCGACCTGGGACAAGTCGACCAAATATGGGTCCACTGGTAGGACGGACTCGCCGGTCGTTTCGGCTGAGCATTCCTCGTCTAGCGAGACCGGTGATATGGACATTGTCCCGCCTTACCACCCCGCGCGCACCCTTGTCCTGTGCTTTGATGGGACGGGCGACCAGTTCAACACTGACGTGTGTATATCATAAGGGACCACTTATAGTACTTCGTCTCACCAATCGGTATTTACAGAACTCGAATGTGGTCGCGTTCTTCAGCATGCTGAAGAAGGACGACCGCAACGAGCAAATGGTCTACTATCAGGTAAGAACCTTTGAAACACGCAAGGTTACACATACAATGGCTGACATTCAAGTTCACTTTCCCAGTCAGGTATCGGGACTTACACGTCTCCACAAGTGGCCTCGCCACTCCGCCAAAAGGTCGACAAACTCCTCGACGATATGGTGGCGTGGAATCTCAAATCCCACGTCCAAGGTTTGTGCCACGAGCGTTTAAGGTTCCGTTTGGGAAACTACTGACTACCCGTTACCCTCAGGTGGATATGAATTCCTGATGCAGAACTGTAAGTACCCAGCGTGACATATCTAGATGGTTACCATGCTCACCTCGTCCGATTGTAGACCAAGCTGGCGACAAGATCTGTCTGCTCGGTTTCTCGCGCGGTGCCTATACCGCTCGCGCTCTCGCCGGTATGGTGCACAAAGTGGGCATTTCCATCACGGATCCTTCGCGCATATCTCTGACAGTCTGTGATCTTGGCAGGTTGGGCTTCTGCCGGCGTGTAACCACCAACAAGTTCCGTTCGCCTATAAAATGTTCGCGCGAGACGACGACGAGGGCTGGAAGCAGTCCAATGCGTTCAAAAAGGCGTTCAGTATCGACGTCGACATTGACTTCATCGGCGTATGGTGTGTATATCCTTGACGTAGGCAGCATTGATTCTGATCCCATCCTACTATCCATGCAGGGATACCGTCTCCTCCGTCGGCGTCATCCCCCACACGCTCCCCTTCACATCCTCCAACACCGCGATCCGCGTCTTCCGGCACGCGCTCTCCCTGGACGAGCACCGCGCGCGCTTCCAGCCGAACCTCTACCAGCACCCGACCAAGCACCAGGCATCGCGCGGCACGAAGCCGGGCGACATGCCGAAGAGGGACACCGAATACGCGACGCGCGTTGGGGTCCGCCCTGCCAATGGCGCGCACAAGAGGACCGACAGCGAGTATCGCAAGCAGCGCCGGCTGGAGCGGCAGTTCAGCGATGGGGACCCGGACTCGGACGGCTCGACCGACGTGCTCGAGGTCTGGTTCGCCGGGTGCCACTGTGGTGCGTCTCTGCTCCTCTACCTATCTCACCTCGTGGATCGCATCTAAAGCTCGGGGACCTACAGATGTCGGCGGCGGCTCCGTCGCAGACTCCGTCGAGCACACGCTCGCCCGCATCCCGCTCCGCTGGATGATCCGCGAATGCTTCAAGACGAACACCGGCATCCGCTTCCACGGCGAGCTCCTCAAGCGCATCGGGCTCGACCCCAAGGCGCTGCACCCCGTCGTGCTCGAGCGCCCGCCCGCCGTGCAGCCGCAGCCGGCGCTGCACCTCTCGAGCGTCGCGCCCCCAGTGCCGCTCACGACGGAGGAGGAGCACGAGGTGCGCGACGCGCTGTGCCCGCTGTACGACCAGCTCGCGCTCGCGCCGTACTGGTGGGCGCTTGAGATCTTGCCGATGAAGAGAAGGTGGCAGGGGCCTGCCCCGGAGCATAAGGAGATGCATGTCTTTGGGTGAGTCTTTGCGAGCTTGTGTTGTGTTTATGCGTGCGGGGGCTGATGCGGGTGTTGGGGTAGGGCGAATCTAGGGTATGGGCGCGTCGTGCCGAAGCACCATGAGCCGTTTTATGTGCACCGGAGCGTGAAGCTGCGGATGGAGACGCCAGATATTGAGGGTGGGCCGTACAAGCCCAAGGCGCAGTATGCGAACGAGCCGATCTGGGTCGACTGAGCTCTGCGTGGTGGAGAGTGCGGTTGAACGTTGGACATTCAATGTCTGCATATGCTCATCTTGTCCTGTCACGCCATATGTTTGCTACCATCTTGTGGCCTTCGGTGTACTTGCAATCATGTATCGTACTGTGTATATAGTAATGCTTGCTTTGTCCTCCTACGCCTGCTAGAGCATGTCTGGTCTCGACGCGAACAGGAGACCTGGTGGCAGATGCGCACCGTCGTTTAGGCGGAAACGTACGAGCTTTGCGGATTTGCAAGAACAATCTGAAGGTGGTTTATGCACGTCCAGCCCATGATACACACCGGCGATCCGTATTCGATTCCTTAAACACCGAGAATATCCATTAGACAGTTCGTATAACTAAGACACGACCTGGGAGAAGACAAGCGAGCGAGTGGCGGGCTAGTACTGTGCGGTATGTGGGTAGGGTTCGATTCAGCGCCGTCTGTCCCCGCCCCCCAACCAATGAGAGGGCGGGAGACGAGCGCGAGGGGGCGTGCGTGCGATGCAGTGTCCGTGGATCCGTAATGGTGTGCGACGACTAATAAGTAAGTAGCGAGGTGTAGATAAGTGGGTAGGGGCGCAAGTAGATAGGTGCGTGCGCGCGCGGCGGGGCACTAGGGAGTAGGGGGATGGGGTCGTGAAAGTCCGTTAACGAGAGCCGCAGTCCAGTCCGCGCGGGCCGGCTGACGAGTTCAAGCAGAAGCACACACTGTCTCTTCTCTCTTCGATGACCGACTCAGAACCGCGCCACCGCGCCATACGCGCCCGCGAGCGCGCCGACAACACCAACAAAGGTTGCAGCCCACACGCCCGCAGGGAGCGCCGCGAGCCCGGCCGCACCGTTGCCGTTGAACGGCACGTACGGGTTCGACGTCGCGGACGCGCTGGAGCTGTCGCCCGAGGACGAGACCTGGTCGCCGGTGAGGTTCGCGCCGTTGGGCCCGATCGGGCGCGACTGGTCCGTGAACGCGCAGGTTGCGGAGTTGCAGATGCACTCGCCCTTGATCGGGTCCCAGAACGGCGTCGAGCAGTTGGCGGCGACTGCGAAGGGCAGAGTGTGAGCAAGAAGTTAGGATATGTTGGGGGCGGGGATGCTTACGACGGAAGCGCGTCTGTCCACCGCTCTCAGTCGCTTGCGGCGGGGCGGGCTGTGCAGGTGAAGGGGGCTCCTGCGGACAACCGTACTGTACAGAATCGCGTCTCAGTACGCAATAACGCTGACGGGTAGGGGGAAAGCTACATACGCAAGTGTAGAAGGGGAAGTCGGGGAACGCGCAGTGCGCCAAGAGACCGTTCTCGTTCTGGGGAATACCGTTGCAGATCTTCAACGAAGAGTCGACCGAGGGCGTTGAGCACTTGAGCGGGTCGAACGAGTCGAGCTGCGAGATTGGGACGGGGTTGCGGACCCACTCGAGCAGCTGAATGGAAGACACGATCCAGGCTGTATCGCAAACCCTGTCAGATTAGAGCTGTAATCATGGCATAAACACGGAGTAAGCGTACTGTTAGGCTGTTCCTGTGCCCAGTCGAGGAACGAGTTGATCATGTTGATTGTAGAGTTGGTAACGGTCGTTCCCGGGACGGAGCGCTAGTACTGCCATATCAGGGGCTGTTCCAAGGAGATAGGCGCAGAAAAATGCGTACAGAAACGTGGATGGGGTGCGTGTACAGACCGAGTGGCTGCCGCTTGCCGTTGTAGTGCGCGGTGAACGTGCTCTTGAGGTACTCGAGAGTCGCAGTGTCGTTGACGGCAGTCTCGCCGTTCGCCGCGTCCCTGTAGATCTAGATTAATCGGGGCCGATTTAGAACGCATACAGCCACCCACAGCCAAGGGTCCATAAGATGCGGTCCGTCGACGCCGCGGTTGTCGAAGAGCGCGTACATGGGAAGCTCCCAGAAGCCGGGGAGCTTGGGCTCGCCCTTGCAGAGGCCGTCGACCGCCAGACAGTCGTTCGCCATGCCGTAATCGAGCGAGTACGGCCAGAACGCGTCCGTGCCGTCGTCGGTGACGGGAACGGAGGCACTGGCGGACGAGTCGTATGTGAAGCCGAGGCTAGCGAGCATTTTGAGCGTGTCGACGGAGTAGTTGAGGAACGGAGCGCGGAAGCCCTGGATGGACTTGAGCGGAATGCCGGCAAGCTGGTTCAGGGCGACGAGATTGCCTGAGACCTCGTTCTCGGGGGGCGTGCCGACGTGTGTCATTCTAGTGAGAATTCTGAATGAGCGAAAAATTAAGTGGCGCGAATAATGAACGGCGTACGTGTGGTCTGCGATCTCGTTGCCGGCTACATACCAGTCGGTGACGAGCGTGTAGTTAGTGAAATTGAGCGACGTGTAGTAGGTCATCTTGGGCTGGCATCCATTAGGGTTCTTGCGTTGCGCGAGGAATTGGTTGACGGCATCAAGGGTGTAGCTCTGTACGGCATCGTCGGCGGTAAAGACAACGAACATGGGCGTGTCCTCCTAAACACATGGCGTAGCAAGAAAGCCGAGGTCAGTAAATGGTGTTAAGAAGGCCGGCGCGGGGACGAGGAACGGCGGGTAAGACATGTATGCAGCACGCCATTTGGGGGCGTCGGCGCGCCCTGCGGGGAAGCCGCCAAGGAAGGTTAAGGTAATAGGCTACTCACGGGCTTAAGGCCACCAGGAGGATCTGTGCTCGCGCAGTTGCAATCGGGGAGCTTGCACTTGGTCGCGTCGCAGGAGTAGCCCGCGGCTGCTGCTGACGAGGTGGGGCCGGTGATGGACCCATCCTGGGCGAGAACAAAGCCGAGGAGGGGGAGGAACGCCGCGAGCAGGGTGGAGGACACCATGGCGGACGGCGGGGGAGGGAAGGAGAGACCGCGAGAGTACTGGCTGGCTGTAGGGTACTTGTAGGAGAGCAAAGAGCGAAGAGAAAGGAATCGAAGGCGGGGGTATATCTAGTGCGGAAGAGGAGAGGACGCGGTCTGGATGAGGGGAGGGGCACCTGCTGACTCAGCACCCAAACGCTCCTCCCGGCCTCATCAGCCCGCCCAGTCCATCAGCCGCTCCTCCGAGCTCTCCTCCACCTTCCGGCCACCCGCGCCCATTCCCTGTGTCCCCTCGGGCGCGCGAGGAGGGGCGCGGTGCATGCTGAACCACAGACTGCTGCTTTCGTACACGCACCAGGAAGAGAAGCGCGCCCGCTTCTCACATATCGGCCTTAATTGACACGACCTGCTCCCCGTCCCGAGAGAGGCATCCCTCGCGCCCACGCCCCGGGGATCCCTGCGAGGCGTGGTTACCGCCCGCCGTACGCGCCCGATCCCCCATCAGGATCGGAGCGCCACCCTCCCCGCAACCGCATCTTCGTTCTTCATCCACATCCCAACTCCTCCATCCTCGACTCGACACTGCAGCTCTGAGCTCATCGATCATATGGTCAGTGCTGTGTTCACTGCATACCTCATGACAGACCATCGTGTTATCGCAGCGACATCACTCCACCCGCACAGGTGAGTTGAGCACATGCTCCGAAGATCTGTCGTACCGGAAGCCCGTCATTATCAAAATCATTACAATGTACAGTACAAATGGATCAAACATAAGCGGCTCCTGACCTCCTCGCCGAATACACCCGGCCTCTGCATGCCTCTTCATAACCCAGTGCGGCCGGCGGCCCTGTCGAGAGGCCGTCTAGAAGCCTCGACACAGTCTGCGTTGTCTCCCATACACGCCGCGCTATTGACGCCTCCTTCCTATTCTTAGCCTAGAGGCGAGAGAGGCACCGTCCCAGCATCTGCTCGCGCGCACGCTGCGTCCTCCTTCTCCCGCATCAAAAGTAGTACCGCCACCACGAGATGGTCGAAGAACCGGTGCGCGAGCGGCTGCATGACCAGCCTTCGGGGATGGCTCAAGTCAAACGTCGCGAGCTCCACAGAGTCGAAGAACGCCTGCCAAGTGCCCAACGTGAGTGCCACAATGGTTTCCGACAACCCTCATGCTCACCTCCCATCTTGTCTCTCCCAGATTCCACCGGATTGCGGTGCCGTCGCCAATGTAGTACATCTTCGCGCTGCAGTACATCCATGAATTCGCTTCCTCGGGTGGAAGCAGTATGCACGCACCCTAGCGTTCTCGACAATACATCTCTTGATTTCCTGCTGGTATCCCCCATCGTGATTGTTGCACCCACTGTCGCCGACCCCGATCTAGACCCTTGTGTCAATCGTCGTCCGCAAACAGAAAATACCGCACTTACTCGATCTCGGCGACCACCAGCCCATCTTCTCCTCCCCGGCGCACAGTCGTCACCCACGACCGCAACGTCCACACGTTCATACCCACTCCGATGTGATATCGCCACAATCCCAAGCTCCCCGC